CGAGGCCGTAAGTGATACACTAGAGCGAGGGAATGCTGAATTTGAATAGGCAAGGTTGAGCGTGGGCAGGGAGTTATTACCCTAAAATTTCAGCTTCCTGGACCCCGTGATTCCCGAGACATTAATTTTACCCGTAAAAAACTTTCCTCCTCGGTAATATCTTCGGCTGTTTATTAGCCATGTTTTGTAAAAGTTTTACAAAATTTTCGCGCGCCTGTATTTCGAAAAATGTATAGAACTCGCAAAAAAGATGGCCCCCCAACTGGACGATCCCCGATTTCATCCTTCACTTATTTACAATACATCCGTAGGGGCGAACAGGCATTTGGCAGGAAGGGGGATGTGATGAAATAGGGCATGTGACGAGGAAGACTGTGTGATGGGGGGAGAAGCCCGGCAGCCGGAGAGACACCCAGGGACATTTGGCGCGAACAGACGGCTGGCAAACACCATCCGAGGAAACGGGAGAATTAGCGAGAACCGATTCGATTTGCCGGTCCGGGGAACTGCGCTTACCTTCTCCCTCTCCCCATCCCCACCCCTCTACCCCTCCCGCTGGTAACATCTTCGGCTGTTCGCCAGCCATCTTTTCGCGCCAGATGTCCCTGGGTGTCCCTCCCGTTGCCAGGTTTCTCCCCCTACCATATATTCTCCCTCGTCACATGCCTTATTTCGTCATATCCCCTTCCTGCGAAAATGCCTGTTCGCCCCCAACGGATGTTTACTGTTCCGTCCAGTCCCAGGTACCGCTGATCCCCCTGACGACGAGGGTAGGGGAGATCGGGGGCATTGCCCGATTGGACGGCGGCTCCCCATCCCCTTGATGCTGCAACAGCTTCCGCTGTTTACAACAAATGTGGTGCGTGCCGTCTCCGCCGAAACGGCAGCCCATCTGTCCCCGGGCCCTTTTGGCGCCAAAACGGCAACACAGCTTCGACTGTCTGCTGGTGGCGGGGTGGGGAAGGCTGAGCGCCCTCTTCTCTGATGAAATCAGCGGCGAAAAATACTGCCGGGAGAGTGAGGGGCCGTCTCGGAATTTATGCAAATGAAAAAAAAAAGAGAAAACACGCCACTTCCGGAACCATGAAATTACTGGAACTGCACAGCATGCAGCAGCAAATCCTGCATATCT